TAAGAGTTAATTATGTGACTGACATACAGTAAATTTGGTTATGGCATATACTATAAGAAGTGCAGATAGTACTAACTAGATGATCAGTTGGAATAGATTTAAAATTGTGCCTGTTCATTTATGAAATCCCTGTATTTACTCTGGTTAGAAGTCTACCATCCAATAAAATAGGACACAACAGCAACTTCCATTGCAAATTTGCCTTAATCATCAAAGCATGTCAGTTTTCTGAGGTTTATAGCACTTACTCCCATGACTCTTGGAACTCCATTAGCTATGGTTTTAATGATCCAATATACTATTAACTCTTTAATTAATGTTCTATATGCCAAATATTGTAAATGACTCATAACATTATTAATAATCTTTATAGTCCTGGTGATATATTAAAGTGCTAAAATTACCCTGAACTTAACAGCAATTATGGGTTCAATGAGCAAATGGACAACTACAACTTTAAGGTTTTAATCAATTGAAAGTCCTTTAAGTTTTCATCAACAAACATTGCATCTCACTTATTTTTAATCTCGTACTATATTCAACATAAGAAGCTTGACTAGTTTTCATATTTAGGTCAGTGAGTGGAGACTGACAAGCATTCATGTACGTTGCAGGGTTACAGCCTTCACCTTTTTGCAATATGTTTATATGGCATATATATGTCATAATTACATGATAGTGAAAGATACTTTTTAATTATCCTATTGGTAGTGGATTATGATAGGTGTTGCAAAGGATAGGTGTCCTTTGATGAATGGAAACGGGGTTGTCTCTATCATCCCCAAAGTGGAACAGTTGAGAAAGTAATAAACAATGGTGTAATGGCTCATGGAACTCTTATAATTGCTTGATTAATTTGGCCAGTACTTTGTATGGAGCCATAAAAATTCTCAAATTGTATAATTTTAGAATGCTCTTCCTTCTCATTGATGCATTTGTTTTTACTAACATGATCATGGTCATATATGCACCAAATTTAAGTCTTGATATGAAGGGAAAGTATCATTAATGTAGCTTGGAATCTAAATAATTAAATATTAGTAACATATGAATCAAGAATACAGAAGTACATAAGACTCTTCCAGTGAACCTGGCATATGCTGTTTCAATTACACTGACAGAGATTACACAAATCACATAAATGGACAAATACATATTCATAGTGATTCCAACTGTTCATCTAATTGATACTATCTCTACCCTTTGGAATATATGCCATAACTAAAATATTATGTGTCAATAATATGTTTAACCAAGAATGGATAATAAAATGTAACATTTCTATAATACCACCACATAAAGAACAAAATTATAGTAATAGATACAAAGAGATCTTGTGATAGGTACTCCTGTTAATGTGATGTTTAAATTTTGTGTTAGAATAGATATTTATGTACACCAAGAAAATAGATGTAAAATTGTTACTAAAAGACCTAAAATGTTTGGAATACACAAGGAGTGAAAATATTTGTCTGCAAAGGGATCTCAGTGGATATAATCGTGTAAGCATACATCTCCCACATGTAAAGTTTACATACAGAGTAGAATACAAAGCAGTAGTTTATGGCATTTCATTATCATTTCCTATTAGTGTGATATTGATGAAAGTGAAAATGTGTATTACTTAAGGCTCTTTGAAAATTTCAGAGCTAAAGAGATTTTAAAATCCCTGAAATGTAATGGCAGCCTAGGCATTATGAACAATATTTTTGCTCATACAACAACATTGGCAATCTGTTGTTCTGAATCACAGCCTATTGTTCTGTAGTCTGCATTATTTGTGACCTTTTCAAAGTGTGATAATGTTATATCTGATGAAATAAATAAGGATAACACCAACAGACATGCTAATGAAGAAAGGGGAAATGTGAGGGACTGACTGCACTCATAGTTAGAAACCTCCAGAAAATAAGGAATACTGAGGGTGAAAGAGCTAGTCTTACTCTGAGAAGAACTGCCAATTGATTTTCCAATAAAAAGTGGTCAGCCATCAGGAAAGTCACAGACAAATGGATGGAAGGAAAAAAAAGGGGAGGGAAATGGAGAGGGACCTGGAACTGACTTGTGAAGCAACCTTGTTTCTAATTTAAATTTAAAAATAAATAAATAAATAAATAAATAAATTGACAAAGGTCCAAAAAAAGGTTAAATTTAAAATAAAGCTTTTTATTTTAAAATTTCTACACCTCTACTAATTTTGCATCAAAAATTTTATCTCCAGTTCACATAAAAAAGATTCCTTTCTAAGATTTTTTTTCTTCTTGCTGTTGTTCCTGGCAGTTTTTAAAGACAAAGAGGAGATATTTTGAAGCTATGCATGATCTTGGTTTTTCATATTAACTTGAGTTTCATTGCTACTGTAAGAAAAGTTAGTTGATTCCTCTATTAGCCTTTTAATTTCAAAAAGCTTCTTTTTATCTAAAGGGCTTAGGAAAAGCACAGTCATTGGTTTATGAATTTCTTTTTTGTAATATATATTCCACTTATCTAAAACCTTTGTTATTTGTTCTATAATTTCTATTTTTGCATAATTCTGTCTGGTAGTTTGCTACTTGAAAAGAGTTGATATGGTCAAGTATACTCATAATAAATCCATAATAAACCACATGTTTACTCTTTTTCATGATTAGCAAATGTAATCTAGAAAGAGAAAATTAATTTAGTTGTGGAGTGGTTTTGTTATGTGTACCTCTTTGCTCTACTAAATTTATAGAGAAACATGACAAGCATTTTTTTCATTCTTCACCAAGGCTTGACCCTGACATCGCCAGAAGGAAACTGAATCATTTTCAAGTTCATTTTACTTAGACTTATACAGAAGCAAAGACAGCTAAAACAGCAAGCTCCATAGCACAGTCTCTACTCTTAGGTTGTACCATTATTCAGAGACATGTTGGGCAACCTGCATCTCTTTATTTTACTTAAAGATCAAAATATTTCTACACTTAGATTTTATTTCAACTAGAGCTACATAATGAGTTGGAAAAATATTTATAAATTACTTTTAACCCAACTGTGTTTTTCTTTTCCGTTAAAACCCAAATCCAAAACTGGCTTTTGTTCAGTGGACCTTCACCTGGAGGTGTACCAACACTCTATGACATTAATCTGCTAAATGCATTTTAATTGCAATGCTCTTCCAAGGTGCATAATGTGCTCTGTGAAAGAATCTCCCACACAAATTAAACATCTGCAATGATGAAGATTTATTCCAGAATTTATGTGCCATATACAATATTACTTTCCAATCCTTGAAAACTTTACATTTTAACATAGACTATACCCCTTTTTTTGGTAAGAAGGTACTGTCATAACCTCAATAATACATATAAAATAAATAACAGAGAAGTAGAAACAGCCTTTTCATGAAATATTGCTTTAGGCCTTTGTTGGTTACTGACATCAAATAACTATGAAAATAAGGATGACTACTCTTAGAAGAAACCTATAAGATGAAAAATATCAAATGATACTAGACTTTAAGTCAGGACTTTAATGCTCAGTTTTTCTCTAATTCTGATTATCAGACTTTAGTGGCTTTAACTTGAAGCATACATAAACATATGTGTCTCTCCACACTCAGACCAGTTTCTTTTTAGAATTTCTTTGGGATTTTGTATGCATGTATGTCCATGTGAAGGTGTCAGATCTTGGAGTTAAAGACTATTGTTGGCTGCTGTGTGGGGTATTGGGGATTGAATCTGGGTCCTCTGAAAGATGTCCTCAGACCAATTCTTTTTTTTTTCAATTTTTTTATTTTAATTTAAAATAGCTTGTTTTACATGTCAATCCCAATTTCCTCTTCCTCCCCTCCTCCTGCACTCCCCATCCCCCCAGCCTCCCATCCTATTGCCAATTCCTTCCACATAGGGGATACCTAGAGTCTGTCATTTCACTCAGGGTAAGGTCCAGGCACTCCCCTAAGAATCCAGGCTGAGAGAGCATCCCTCTTTGTGCTATGGGCACACGATGACTGTTTGTATTCCAGGGATAGACACTGATCCACTGCTCAGGGCCCCATAGGTTGCCCAGGCCTTCTCACTGACACTCACATTTGGGTTTCCAGATCAGTCCCATGCTGGCCTCCCCGCTGTCGGTCTGGGGTCCAAGAGCTCTCCCCTGTTCAGATCAGCTGTCTCTGCTGGGTCTGCCAGCCCATTCTTTGCCAATTTGCTCATCACTCCTCTCTCTCTGTCACTGGGTTCCTTGGGTTCAGTTCAGTGCTTAATTGTGTGTGTTTGCCTCTGCTTCCATCAGTCACTGGATGAAGGCTCCCGGATGGTTATATACATCAAATTCATTATCAGGAATGGTCATTCGAGGTGGTCTCTCCACTATTGCTTAGCTTGCCAATTGGTGTCATCCCTTTAGATCACTAGAGGTCACTCTGGTGCCTGATCTGTCTTCTAACCTATGATTTCCTCTTCCCCCTATTCTATCCCCACCCACTCAAACTTCCTGTTCCCCCGTGACCTACTCTCTCTTCCTCTTCTCCCCCTCTCTTCTTCCCAGCTCCCATTCCCCCCACCCAATTCTTAATGACTTCATTTTATTTAACGTCCCTGAACATTTGTATTGTAGGCTCTAGAACTTCAAAAAGGAATTTGAAAAAAAGATGGTTGCATCAGGTTTAAATTATTGTTGTACAAATAACTTTTCTGACTCAGGATAAAAGCTAAAATACTATGTAAAACTATAATAAATTAGCTATAATTAAAACTCCGTAAGTATGGAAAAGATTATTAAACCTTACCTGTTGGGGTAAGATTGTTCTAATTACTTATTAAATGAATGTTATCTGATCTGAATATGCGTTTTCCAGACGAGACATAAAGAACTTCACTTTTTACCCACTTCCTGCAGTACTGTGATATAGAATACCTGATTTTCTATGATTCTCAAGGAAAAACACCAATCATTATTAAATATTAAAATAAAAACTGAACTGTAAGTAAACTGAATCTTATTGTATGACTTGTCCTTGAATGTTGTCTTCTCAGGTCTGACTGTTGATCACTTCGGTGAACGCATCTACTGGGCTGACTTTGAGCTCTCCATTATTGGCAGTGTCTTGTATGATGGTTCCAGTCCAGTGGTCTCTGTCAGCAGCAAGCAAGGTCTGAAGAGTCCCTTTTGTTATTGAGAATATTAGTCCATGACACTGTAGTATGGACATTCTGCAACATAGATTTCATCTAATTCTTTCGAATTGCAGTGTTTACATTGACTAAAATGTTCTACCCCACTGGTATATTGAAGGGGTCGGGGCAGAGGGCTCCCTCAACTTGGATATATATGAGTAGTTGCTGTCCATGTTCAGAAATTGTTTCATTCCATAAATTATGTATAGTGAGTTCCAGCCAACATCAATTCTTTTTTCAAAATTGTGATGATGGGCAACAGGAACCATTTACTATGAGTCCTTCATCATGAGCATAGTTATTAGGCCAATGAAAATTGAGTTAGCAACCAGTGCCGCTCCCACCAGCAGTGCAGGATCTTCTGTTCTCCACAGCTGTGTGCATCTTCCTCTCTGATTCTCTACCCACCTATCACCTTGTTTTCTCTTTTTCTGGTTCCCTCTGCCTAACACATTCTTTTCCTGACTCTTAGTATTGTTTTCCTCTGTTCTTTCATTTCCCCCTCTGTCCATCATTTACTACCAGTGCAAAGCAAACTGAAAATGGTACAATATTTGTTACTGTGTTCAATAAATATAACCTTGCTTCACAAGGTTTTTATAATAAAAAATGAAGAAGATAAAAAATAATGGGATTGAAATTCGGTGGTGTTTTATTACTGTTGTCATTGATTATTTTGTCTGTTGGCTCAGTTTCCACTCTTATGTATTTACAAAATATTTCCTTACTTCTACATTAGCCTAATAAAGTGTTGCAAAAGAAAAATAGAACTAGGGAAACCTATGAGTTTTTAAGGTATATTCATTTTTATTTTATGTATATGAATGTTTTGTCTCTACCTGCCTGGGTACACCATGTCCCTGTCTGATACCAACTGATGTCATATGAGGGGAGTCAGATCTCCTGAAAGTGGAATGACAGATGTTTGTGAGTCACCAGGTGTGCTAGGAATTGAACTCAGGTGCTCTTCAGGAGCAACAAAGTGCACTTAACTGCTGATTCAGCTTTCCAACCCCTCTTCATCCCTTTTCTAAAGGAAGGCAGCAATATCTTTCTGTTGTTGTTTGGTAGTGCCTCATCCCATAGCTCATGCTGGCTCTAACCTCTTGTTTCTATTTGTTTCAGTCTGCTGAGTTCTGACATTAAAGATTTATGCCACAGTAACAATTTGTATTATTTCAAATTGTATTGTAATTACATGAAAATCCACCAATTCAGATGATATAATTCAACTAATAATTTAATCCATAAAAATTTTCTGAAAAGCGGGCTTTTTGCTACAGATGAGGCTTGATTTTCTTATTGTCAATATCATAGTAGAGATAATTATATAGCATATACTAACCTCACACAATTTAAAGTAGCTGCAAAGGGGTGATGGTTATGTTTGTTCAATAGGATGTGGATGGCATGTTTATCCCCTTAGAGCAAAAATAAAAATGATGATTTTAATTTTTAAGTTGACAAAAAACAGTACTTGGATTTTAGATATTTATGCTAATTTTAAAGTTTGAGTTCATATACAGCCTGTGTTAGCAAATATTAATTGTATAATACAACTGCTTCTTCAAGTCATGATTGTCTAAGACACTTTGATGCTACTCTCAGTGGCATTAGCTCCTCTCTTTTGAACATTCCAGGTTTGCTGCATCCTCACAGAATTGATGTCTTTGAAGATTATATATATGGAGCAGGACCTAAAAATGGTGTATTTAGAGTACACAAATTTGGTCATGGTTCAGTAGAGGTCCTAGCTTTAGACGTTGACAAAACAAAGAGTGTTTTAATATCACATCGTTATAAACAACTAAATTGTAAGTAAAATATAAAATAAATTCCCTTATATATTTTAAAATACTATATTTGTAACTATGGTAAGTATGTTTATATTTCCAGTATGCTATCTAAATTTGTCTTGGTGTCTCCAGACATTTCAAATCAACAAATAGATACTTGCCATAAGAAATAAGAATAATCTGCTACATTTTCTTAAAGTTAAGGTTACCTATTTAAAAAACCTTGTAAATATATAGGTCTATCATTGAGTTATGAATACTCATCAATTGCCATTTCTCATTGCTGTTTTAATAACCATTGATTACCATAGTATTACCACTTTAGCCTCAAGAATATTCATAGAGATCTCTTCTCAAGACATCTATCTTCTCTGATATGTTGTTTATGATTTATTATAAACATATATTTCATTAAATAAATCATTGTATATTTTATGTTAAAACTATGTTGCAAGCTCATACAAGGACAAAGTAAAAATATGATTGAAATTCAAACTTAAGTTGTGTTTATTAAATTGTTCTTACTCTTTTATAGTCACTTTTAGTTAAGACAGTGTTTTTCAGTGTAGTCCTTGCTATCTTGGAACTCACTTTGTAGACCAGGATATACTCAAACTCAGAGATTGGCCTATGTCTGCCTACCAAGAGTTGATATTAAAGTTATGTGCCACAATGCCTAGATTTATAGTCAGTCTTTATTGCAAGTCAAAATACATTTCATCTTGAGTTTTGCATTTATGTTGCAAGGCAACTATGTGTATACATAATGGTGTGGACACATTCTAGCAGGACGTAAATTCCTGAGATACTTCTTTATGTGCTGCTGCATATACTAAATAGCACATATGCTGTGGCTATAGTCAACACAAGGACACTTCATCCTACCTTACACTTCTACCTAATTCATAATCACAACTGAATACTGCTAGATCCATAAAGTTAATTAATTCCTATCATAACCCAGGTAGGATGTGAGCAGTAGATTTTAGCAGAAAGGTTCCTTGAACTGGCTAGAATCCAGAAAAGTCCATGAATCGCCTCTGACTATAAAAAATGCTCCTTAGATAAAACATTAGATAAGTTTTGTGCCTAGTCTCCCACACAGAAAGCAGTGAAGAATTTTAACATGTTTCCAATCATACCTCATTTTTATATTTTGAATGTACCAAAGCATGTAATTCTGAGACTATGTGAATACCACAGATAAATTGTTTCTGTCAAAACTGTATGGTAAAGTTATAAAATAAGGTTTAGAACTCCAAACACTTAAGTTATGTTACTTTTTTGTGTGCATGGAGGTCTATCAGAAATTTAATATAGTGAGAATTCAGCAAAGTGTTCAGCAAGATTACTTGTCTTCTAAATTGATTTAGACTATCCACCTAAATTTGAGTCCTGAATATTCTAAAAAGTGCAGTCAACAGATCATCATTCATAATGAGCCAGTAGATAAAATAATCATCAAAGATAACTGTATATGAACTAAATCAGAAAGGATGCTGGGTTGCTTTCAATTCAAAAGTTAACTTTATGGTAAAGTAATCCTGAACTATTGATATATGTATATATGAACAATCTTATCCTTTTAAGGATAGGCACATTTCTTATCAAGGAAGGTATTGTATAGTGATTTTTCATTACTTATAAAATAGAATGTAAACATGAAAATGTGTGGCCTCAGTAAAAATGGCTTTGATTTCATTTTCACATTGGTAATTCATCATTTTAGCTTCCTGGATTTTATGCCTTTGAAACTTTTTTCAACTTTTTCCCCTCACATCTGATTTTGTTTCTTCATTTTGTTTCCATCAGTACCAAATCCTTGCTTGGATTTGTCATGTGATTTCCTCTGCTTGCTGAATCCTTCTGGGGCCACTTGTGCCTGCCCAGAAGGAAAATACATGATGAATGGAACTTGCAATGATGACAGCCTATTAGGTAGGTATTCTCTGTTATCATATAACAGTCAGTTTATTTTATAAACAGTGGAGACAAATTTATATGAGTTTTGGAAGTAAGCAGTATTACTTTCTCCATCAATTCATCTACCTTAATGCTAGTGACTCTTAAATGCTTATAAAAGCAGTCCTCTTGACAGAAGGCTCTCTACCTTCCTGCCTTTGATAAGAGAAAAATGTACATCAAACATGTGCTTAATAGATCAAGAACTGAGAAGTCACTCTCAGAATCTAAACTTATAGATAATATTTGAGGATGAGTTTCCTCTATAGGTATAAATTCCAGCCCTAAATTAGTTCTTTCATTGTATTTATTTTTGATACCTCTGACTACTTCAAGTATGTAGAACACTAATTAAGAAAACACAGGCTAATTTAGAAATTACCTTAATCTCTCCATTTAAAGTATTATTTATACTAATACTAAATACTATTAATACTGAGTATAATACTCATACCTATTTAAGCTTTTACCATCAAGGAATAACACTAATTTAGAAACTAAGGACTAATTTAGAAGTGAATCTGACAATATTTCTTCATGTATCTTGTATTTTTAAGTACTAATTTAGAATGAACAAACATTATTTCAGAAAGTAGTGTTTTCATAAGGTAAGATTCAAAACTAGACAGTATGATGAAAAATAAAGAAGAAAAACTTTTCTTCTGAATAGCCAGTAGGTAAAACTCAAACTTAGAGTATTAGTCATAATTGGAACAATTCTATTAAAAGAAAACTCCATTCTTAGCAAATTTCATGTCACAGACAAAACCAGCATGCTCCAAAGCACTTCTGGATCACAGCAAGCATTTTGGAATGTGAGATAAATTTAGGATGTCTTCCCAGCAGGATTTCTTACTTACTATGTTTTCCTCTGTTTGAATTCACTGCTCATCTCAGTAACATGCCTTCATCCTCATTTGTCCTCTCCATCCCCAGACAACTAGCTCCTTGTTTTCCACTGTGGGTTGTGGGTTGCATTCAGGTTAAAAACTTAACAAGAAATTGTTTCTAAGTCAATTGATAGATATATAATATATATCACATTTAAACGCTGAATTTGTAAACCTGAAGAAATTAAAAGATGGAATGATGAATGATGTACATCAATGAGTGTCACTGATCTGAGCAGCCATGGCTGCTGCTGCAGGGGTCTACTTCAAGTATTTTTAGGATTCAGATGAATATTATACTTGAGGATCACTTTGAAGTTCCTACATTATATGATTTTCAAATAGAATGAGAGACTTTGGATTTAGATTGAAGGTGAAGATGGAAGGAACTCTGAAATGACATGGAATTATGGTATATAGAGGAAACCCAGAAACATTCACACTGTCAGGAAGAAATGCAGAGAAATGCTGTGTGAGTTGCAAGTTTTCAGAGTTCCTGTGGATGATGCATGGTGTTTATATTTTCATGCTAGTTCCAGTTATGGAACACATTCTGTCATTGCCACCTGATGACCCTGTTACTTTGTTGTTTTCTCACCAGCTAGAGTACCTGTGATCTCAGCTGTGCTGGCAAAATTAAGTATTTTTGAATATCACTGCACTTTTTTTTCTGGCTAGGTCAATAAACTGCACTGTGTAGGAGTGTGTAGGGTATGCAACCATTCAGAAACTGAGTTTCTTAAAATGTCAACTACTCCTTTTAAGTGAAAATGCCTTATCTCTCTAGCCTCTCACCCACACATTAATAAACAGTGGCCCCAAAGGAACTTTCTGTGTTCCATTTCCACTTAATTATTCAAATTGGTCTCCCTCTCTATAAAAAAGAACAATGTGTTAGGACTATAAATAAGATCTCAGAGTAATTTTTTGGTGTAGATAATCCAGTTTACTTTTCCTAATGTCAATGTTTGGTATAGCCCAATTCTTCAGCCCTTCATATGTCAGTTACTTTCTCTATTGTCAAAAGATGAGAACAAAATATTTTTAATCTCAATATAAGCAACTGCAAATTCAAATATTACTCAGTCTTGGTAGGGCATTTACCTGTTCTTTTTATTAAATTTTTGCAGATTGGCATCTGAGTATTATTTAATTATTGATAAGTGAACCCTTATGTTTAAATACAGAACTATTGTTATAAGTTATGGATGACTATAATTCAACTTACATTTTGTCATCCTCCTCCTGTCCTGTTTTTAAATTGCTAGTTCCTAATAAATCCCTAATATTGGAATGTTCATTTCCTATCATGTACGGATTTTGGGTGTCTATATCTGTAGTTGGTAATTCATCTTCCTGAAGTGTTTTAAATATTTATCTCTAGTGTTTTTATTCAGAAACTTCTTTTAGTATTTTTTATTGATTATTTAGATATATTCTGGGAAGCTATTAAATGCACAAACACATTTACACTGCTTGTATTCAAAATATTCTTAATCTTCTCATAGTAGACACACTATAGAGAGTCTCAAGCAAAACTGCAATTGGGTACTTTAATATGCTCAGAAGGGAGCCACTCTTATTTTCCATCCCCTTCATCCATCACTGATTTCACTACACTGTTCCCTTATAATTCTCTCACTTTTGTTCATTATGCTTTGCTTTGCTTACCACATTCTCGTACTACCCAATCTAAATAATTGAAGAATATCATACCTGTCACCTGCTTTCAGTAAAACATCTGCAAGCATATTTATTCTCAATATTTTCAGGTTCCTCAAAGTATTTATATCAGCGTATAGGTCCAAAATTCAGTGGTCCTCTCATCCCATACTGTCTTCAAATATTTGATTCCTGTCATTCTTTCCCTCACACACAGGTCCTGTTAGACATTCATTCTTTTCCTAGCAGGCTCTGGATTTCACAAATAAACTACCATTAGAGATGTGGTACTCTCTGTGAATCTCATAGGCAATCAAGAAATAATGTTTAAAAATAATATTATTCTAACACTTGACCAAACAAGTTATTCCATTGCTTGATAGATTCTCCAAACACATAGTGTAAATTCAAATCTCAGTGCTTAAACTCTTTTCTGTTCTAGACAGTGTAGATAGCTAGAATACATATAGAACATGTTACTGAATGGACGTGTATATTTAAAATTAATATTCATAGTTTTAAAATTTTAATGTTTTTAAATAATTTGATTCAATACCCTTAACATATTTGAATTTTTGTTTTAACGTAAGTTCGTTTTAACTAAAGAATCCAGTCAAAGTTTACATATATTATCTTATATGCATACTAAAGAAAGTAGAGTGGAAGGAATACAGAAAATCTACTGCCTAAACTAAGACATTCTAATATTTGAAGGTGGCAAAAGCATGCTGTTTTACCGGTGATGCTTACAAAACTGGTTGTATACTTTCAGAAAATGGAAGTAGATCCTTATCATTCATCTTGTACAAAAATATACTTGACGTCAATAAAACCATTTTAAATCAAAACCCAGAACACTGGAAGTGATTGGAGGAACATAGAGAATAATCTTCAAGATAATGGGGCAGACAAGCTGTATCTGAATATAACCCCCCAGCACAAGAACTAGACCCCACAATCAAATTAAGTTAAAAATGGTTTCCATAAGAAGAGAAACAAGCGCAGCAGACATCCAAAAGAACAGAATAAAAATCTATACCATTTATATGTAGCGTTCTAATATTCTAATATCTAAAATCTACAAAGGAGTATAAATATTAAATATTAAGAAAACAATTTTACAAACAACAAATGAGCTAAATGCAATGTAAAGATTGTTTTCAAAAGAAGAAAAACAAATTAAAGATTTGTGTTCCACAATCATGGTCACCAGGGACAGACAAATACTGCCTCATCTTAGAATGACTATCATTAAAAAAAAATCTGACAACAATTGTTCAAAAGGGTATTAGAAAACATGAATGTTTATTCACTGCTGATGGGGTTCAAACTAACACCAATATATTGGAAATCAGCTTAGAGGGTCTTCAAAATATCAATAGAATTATCATATGACGCCGAAGGGTCTGTGAGAACTGCCTCAGCCCCTACTCAGGGTCCTAAAGGGAAAATGCTTCTCCAGAGCAAATGAGGGGGTAAAGGAAGTCTACAGTAACTTAAATACAATCTGAGGGTCATGCTCATACACTTTTTGGGTTTTTCAACACAGGGTTTCCCTGTGGCTTTGGAGACTGTCTTGGAACTAGTTCTTGTAGACCAGGCTGGTCTCTAACTCACAGAGATCCATCTGCCTCTGCTTCCCAAGTGCTGGGATTAAAGGCATACATCACCACCACCTGGCTTACATATACTTTCAATCAGCAATTCCCTAGCTCTAGCCAGGTGGAAGACAGAATTTTTCAGGGTCAAAGAAACAGATAAAAAGATTTACACAATGCAGTAACTAACTGTCAGCCTTTCTCTATGGCTCAAGGTGGGTGTGATTAAGCCTCCAAGAACCTCTAAAGGAAGAACGGGGTTGAATTAAGGGAAAGAGAGAGAGAGACTAAGTCATTAAGGAAATCTAAGAGGGGAATACATATGGTTTTGCTTATTCTTAAATGTGACTGGATGAATAAGCTAAAGGGTATTGTGAGGTTAACTTGGGACAGCACTTCCCCATCTGCTGGAAGAGTCAATTTGGAGCAATTTTTGTTTTTTATCTCTCTGAGACCTATGGCTCAACAACTTCAGACATGTCATAATTCTTGTCTTTGGATGTCTGCAAATGTCTCTGTTGAGGTCTCTTTTCCAAGACACCAATACTGATCATCTGTCTGCCAAGGAAGATAACTGCAACAGGGCAGACTTGTAAGTTTATACAAAGACCTGTTTAAGAGAGTAACAAACCACCTTGACCAAGGCAACATATAAAACACAGCATTTAATTGGGTTTTCAGTTCCAGAGGCTAAGAATCCATGATGGCTGAATGAAGGTGTGTTGGCAGGATCAGCTGAGAGATCGCCTCTCAAACCTTAAGCAAGGAGGTAGAGAGGGCTAGCTCAAAATGATGTATTCTAAAACCTTAAAATTGCTATATGGAGAGATACCTTACCCAGCCTAGACACAGAAGTATGGGTTGATGAGGTGCATGCCTCAATGAGATGACGGAACCAACTTAGTAGACTTTCTAGGAGAAGCCTTATCCTCTCCGAGGAGCAGATAGGAGGAGGGGAGGAGTTGGGAAAGCAGTAGGAAAAGAGTGAGGGGGAACTGGGATTGGAATGTAAAAAAATAAATTAGTAAAATGACTACAAAAAACAAAACCCCTGCTCATGGTGACATATCCCCTCTAGCAAAGCCATACATCCTCATTCTTCCCTTACTGGGAACCAACTATAATGTCTCATCCCAAGTAAGGTGATCCAAATTCAGAAAGAAAAAAAATCTTCCTTTTCTCTCTAATATGTTGATCCTAGCTTACAACATAAAAATGCATATGTGTAAACAAAGGTGGGAATAAAATCCAAAAATTAAAAAAGGAAACAAGAGAGAGTAATAACAGGTGATGATGAAGGATATGGGTAGGAAAAAGAATGCATGAATAATTAACGACCTAAAGCTGAAGTTTTTCTAGTTTCCAAGGTGCGTAAATGAATTCAACTTGATTTGTATTGAAGTAGTAATAACCATGTTTTGTTTTTCTGAGGATCCCAGCATGCATAATTCCTCAGAGACAGTGGCTGCAACATGGTCTTTTCTTTTTATTCCATGGAATATCAGTGCACTAGAAAGCACTGGTGTCACATTGACGCACTTAGGAAAATGACCTTCTAAAATCAGTTCTGGGGCAAGATGTTCTGCACCCTCGGCTTTTTAACTCTATTTAAAATTATATAAAATATTCTGTTACAATGTTATTTAATGTATGAAGCATGTTGCCATGCATAAGGCATAGCACTAAAAATATATTCATTATAAAATATATTACATGTGAGAACTTTTGGTTACTAATAACAAATGTAAATAACGATAACATTTAAAGAATAAAATATGAGTTAAATATCTGCTGTTAGCTGTTGTGAATTTTTTCACCTCCCAAATTACGTATATTTTATGAAAAAATAAATAAATTCTAGCATTCAAATATATGTTTCTATTTGCATTATTTGAGGCATCCCTGAACAACATGCTAGTCTGTATATTTCTTCTTATACATAGATGACTCTTGCAAACTGACTTGTGAAAATGGAGGAAGGTGCATCTTAAATGAGAAGGGTGATCTGAGGTGTCACTGCTGGCCCAGTTACTCGGGAGGACGGTGTGAAGTAAACCACTGCAGCAACTACTGTCAGAATGGAGGGACCTGCATACCATCCACTCTGGGTAAATATCTGATTCATCTAGTAAGTGCAAATTACTTGTATTTTCTTAATATGTTAAACATGTGAGTTACATAAAGCCAGATAATCTTGATGTAGCATAAATCATCATGAATTAAATTTAAAACAAGTTCAACAAAATAAAAGGGACATATTTATTGTATTAAAGTTAATGTCACAGAATTAGTAATATTAATGGACACTAAAAACCATATTGCTTGAACAACACTCAGAATAACTAACATTACCAGTGCTTTTTAATTTTCACTTTAAGGTTACATAATTAAACACACACACACACATGCATTTAAAAATAGAATTTCATATACAATTTGAATACATATTTCATTTGAGTTAACGTTCTCCTTCCCTCTTTATTGCATCTTATCTCCTTGTGTCGTTTTCTCTTATTCAAAATGATATTTATGCAGGGTGAGAGATGTGTACCTAACTTGTTTCTTTTTCAAGTTGCTATCCAGTTTTGATGACACAATTTTTTGAGTTGGCTATATATATATATATATATATATATACATATATATATGTGTGCATGAGATGTTGATTTTTTTATAAAATTACTTTTTCATGGCTGTATTGATGTATTATGGGGTTTTGATTATTTTCCATTGATCTACAAAAATATTGTAATGCTTTTATAACTGTACTTGAGGTCAGATTCTCTCTCTGTGTGTGCATATTTATTAGTTGATATGTATTTGTTCATAGTGTACTCATGCATTTCTGTGGGTGTCATCATCTGTACTGTTCTCTCTCTTACTCATTGAAACATGATCAATTTAGCAATCAAAACTCACTGTTTTGGCTATACTAGCTGGCCCACAATCTTCCTTTCTCCACTTTCCCACTGCTGATTTTAAGGACACACACTGCATACCTTGCATTTATGTTATGGCTGAGGATCCAAATTTGAGTTCTCTTACTTGAACAGGAAGTAATGTATTTTTTAGACTTTGAACCCAGCTGCATACCATGTACTTTTCTTTCTTGGGAGGATTTTAATCACTAACTCGTTGCTCTTGCTTCTTATGTATCTGATTAGGTTGCTTATATATTGTTACATATTCTTGAATACATGTGTGTTTTCAAATTTGTTCATTTCTTTTAAATCATCAAATCTCTTTTAAAAGTATTGAATGCTAATCTTCTGGATTTTGTTGGAGTATGTTGTGACAGTTCCCCTTTGCCACTAATTTAATTTGGGTTCTTTTTGTCTTGCTCTTCAGTCTTCATCTTTTCAAAGAACCAAATTTTCATCTGATTAATCTTATTGGTTATACTTTTGTCTCTGCTTCTGTAAATTATTTCAACAATTTTATTACTTTTTCTATGTGGTACATTTAGGCTTTTAGATATTCTTGCTTTTCTAGAGATTTAAGGTGTACCATTAGGTTATTTATTTAATTTCTTTTTGATTTTTAAAAATTTTTCCAGACAGCATTTCTCTGTGTAGCTTTGTAGGACCTAGCTGACCTCAAACTCACAGAGATTTGCCTGCCACTGCCTCCCAAGAACTGGGGTTAAAGGCATATGCCACCACCACCCAGCTGTCTCTTTGATTTTTTAAATGCAATTTATATCTATTGAATATTCTTACAATAGCCTAGTCTTTGTCTTAGAAGCTCTAATTGCATGTGCTCTTAAGTTTACCCTAGTAACATACTAATTTGTCATTTATTTTTTCAGTGACTAACTTTTCACTCAAAAGTATACTGTTAAGTCTCTAAGTATTTGCCTATTTTCTAAGGTTAATATTTCTGGTAGTTTCCATTGAAATGTGATAACATTCTAAAAGTTATTTCATTTGTGGTTTTTTTTGTTTACCCATATATTAAACCTTGATTCCTGGTCAGTTTTAGAGAATGTTCTAAACATCCGTGAGAAGAATGTCTGTTCTAATTTTTAGGGTTGATTACTGTAGAAAATATTGATTATAGTTGATCTATGGCTTAGCTTAACTCTCAGGTTTCTTCAATGATTTTTAAATTGAAGGATCTATATATAGAAGAGAGTAGAATTTAAAACCACTCATCATTATTGTGCAGTATTTTCTTCCTTTGAGTGTTTGTTTTATGAAGTTGGTCCAGAGATTTAGTTCATAAATATTTACAATAATTATATCTTCTTGATAAATGTTCCTTTTCTTAGCATTCAGTGTTCTGCTTTGTTTCTCCTGATTAGCTGTAGTTTGAAGTATGAGAATCACTATATTAGCTTATTTGTAGTTTCTCTTTTTATACTTTGATTTTCATTCTGCTTTTGACAGTGTTGGGATATCTTTCCCAACTGTGTTTGCTTGTTGGAAAAAAACAGATAACTGTATAATGCACTTAAATTATTCCTGTTAGTATTTGCCTTTTAGTTAAAAATTTAGAGCCATCTGCCTTCAGTGTTATAAGTGAGAAGTATTTGTTACAGTTTACAGTTCTATTGTTTCATGTTCTATTTGGTTGGCTGATAGTTCTTTTCTTCTCCCACAAGTAACTTTAGATTTTAATTGGTTTACTATGTTCAACATCATTAGCTCCTTCCCTGTACTACATTTTTCCATTGTGTTCATGAACTATATGTTAACCATCAATTCTGTGGGCAATATTGTCCTTCTTTGTGTGTATTCAATACTTTCACAGAAATTCTGGATTAGTTATCATATTTCTTTTTGACTTGAAATAATCATACTTCTCTATCTCAATAGGTAAATTTTCTGGGTGTAATAACTTAGTTGACAACTGAAAGCAAGGCATTCACTACTGTATATGGACTTTTTAAAAAAATTTTGTATTCCTGGTAACAGACTCATGTTATTCTGACATTTCTGACTCTGTATGGAAGTTGGTATTTTTCCCTTACAATTTTTAATACCATTCTTTGCTTTGTGTTGTTGACATCTAGACAAGGATATGTCATGAAACGATTCTTCTCTGGACATGTCTATTTGGGTATGATGCCACATTTTGTGGTTTAATTCATTCTCTAGGTTTGGGAAGTTTTTCGATATATTTTCATTGAAAAGCTTTCCTTATGTAAAGATTTTATCTCAGTTTCTTCTTTTATACCTTGAATTCTTATGTTTGATCTCTTGAATACATTTCTGGCTTCTTAGAGATGTGCCACGTTCATTGTTTTTTCTTACATGTATAACACTGCTTCACACTTAGGTTTTATTTCTGGTATTTGCTCCTCAGCTTGGTCAAATCTTTTGAAGACAAAATAATGTTAGTTGCAAGTTTTTACAGTTTTCCTAAATTGTGTCTCACATGAAGTTTGTACATAGAAGCACTAAAATCATCTTTGTAGATACAATTGAAGTTGTTTGTCACCACTTGTTTTGAAGTTACTGAAAGTATAGTTCAGAAAGCAACAGTCATTTTGAGATTTGTCTTATTTCTTCCACTTAATGGTCTCCCCTGAAGTCCCACTTCCAGCCACGTGCTCAGATTCCCAGTCCTGCTCTTAGACCCTCTCATCGCTGCATACTCAATTTTTGTATGCAGCAATTGACTTGAGGACACTGTTGTTCTCTGCCACTGAAAAAATGCTACTTTTTAAGAGTTTAAAATATTTGTTTAGTTCCAAAGTGTGTATATTTTTCCACTATACAAATAATGTCCCTAAAAATAAACATCAATTGCTGTTTAAAGTTAGTTTTTCTTTAAATGGAAATAAACTACATGAGACCATTTCATTGCATGTACTTGGCAGTCTAAAATTTTAGCTGCTCTGTATGAATTGCAAAATATAGGACATTATAATTTTCAAATAAGAGAATATACTTAATATGTTATGATATCTGTTACTGTTATAAAATTATGCAATTGACTTGTTTGCAAAACTGTTTATTAGCATGTAAATGAACAAGGGACACATTTTTTACCTATAAGTATGATATTTAAAAAGGTTTGTGTTATAGATTGAAAAATCTGGTTATCTTCACACAAATGTTAATTTATAAAAAATTCTGGTGGTTAACTCATGGATGTATTCATTGTTAATTTACTTAAAATCATGCCCTTTATAAATTCCTCTGTAGACAGCATGTAACAAGGATTTTGGTCAGGCTTGATTACAATATAATAGTTTTATATAAGAATAGTAATCAAAGAGAGGAAATATCAGTAGTTAACCAAAGGAACACACTGAGACCTGTATTCATAAAGGGTAATATTCCAAAATCAAATATTTTAAAATTATTATAAATAAATTTATTATTATTTCATTTCTATGATCTGCTCATAAGGGTGATGAATTTAAGATAAAATTTGCCTTGGAAAGAACAATGGAAATTAGGACAGAGCATACTATTAGTCAATTATTCTTTCATATAAAAAGAGAATAGTCTATTAGGAGAAGTGGGCAATCTATGGGGCCTCTGGTAGTGGATCAGTATTCATCCCTAGTATACAAATGAGCATAGAGGGATACTCTCTCATAATAGACACATGGGAAGGGCCTAGGTCATGCTCCAAATGATGTGACAGACTTTGAAGATCCCCGATGAAAGGCCTCACCCTCCCTGCAGGGCAGAAAGGGAATGAGATAGGGGGTGAGTGGGGTCAGGGGAGGAGGAGAGGGAGAGGGAACTGGGGTTCACATGTAAAACAAGATTGTTTCTAATTTAAAATTTTAAAAAATTATGAAAAAAGAGAATAGTCTATGAAACTCTGTATCTACTATAGATATAAGACATTTATGGAATTTGCAGCTATATTAGTATTTAGTATTATTTTCAAAAATATATGTTCCATAAGGTAGAATCTTACTGCTTGTTTATTTCAACATTTTTAAAGCTCTGTTATTTAGATTTATAGCATCATATGAAAGTAAACCAGGGTTTTGACAGAATTGATTTAGCAGAGCAAGAGGTTTTGTGAATCTAGATAAATCCAAGCACTCCTAATACTGAACTTTGTGGATTTGCAGAGCTTAAAACTGGATAAAATGTAATAGAACTTGTCAATAAGTACCAATGTAGATGTAGATATTTAGCAGTGACAAGCAATTTGAATTGTGCTATTTAAATGAAAAGTACTCTAGAGACATGAATGCTGGAAGATGGATTCCTTTAATAGACAAATGAGAAAATCGGGGAGAACATCAATCAGGGGGAGGGGGTGATAGTAATTCAAGGGAAATGGTGTTAGGATATATAACATTAGGGTAATTGAAAAAGCCATGAGAAACATACAATCTTAGAAGCTTTAGTTTAATTGGACCCATTCTGCAATCAAACAAGTCTCCCCAAGAAGCCATATACTACTAAACAACAATCATAGTCCCTTCAAGGTTTTGGTTGAGGGATTCTTAGAAGACCTCAGTATGATACAGGCCATTGCAATTGCTCTTGGTTGCCTGTGAGATAGTATTCCCTGGGATACAAATATTTGTTTTTATTGCAAAGAAATCTATTGTTCAAGGTAAGAAAAGGTAGTATTTCTGAAAATAAATGATTTAGAATCTAAGTGTTGAAAGGATTTTCCTACCTGTGGACAACTTGGATGACTGCTCTTACTGTAAACATCCATAGCACACCAGAAAGTTCCAAAAACATGTTTTCCTTTTCTGAGTGGCTTTGGTGAGGGATTATCAACCACATGTTTGGACTCACTGCTTTTTTCATATCTCTGTTATTTGCTTCATTTATTATTTTAAACATCTCATTTAATATTCAAGGTTACATGTTTGATATAATTTACTCAGCTTTCACTTTTTCTGTTACCCTCTCCCATTGCTTTTCTCTCACAAGTTCTTGTCTTGTGTTCTCTGAGTCTGTGAACTGCTACCTGTATATACCTAGGTATGGTGCCATGCACAAAAATGAAGGTAGTCTGTGAAAGCTTGCATCACTGAAGAAAACTAACTTTCCCTCTCAAAGTAGGCATCAAGATACCAACAGATTCTCAGATGGGGCAGGACATCATAAACTCCTGTGACATCAATACTGGGAATTTGATTGATTTAACCTTGCATACATGTATATAAATCTTATACATGAGTTCATATGTGCAACTATACATTTATTTTTGGCAAATGTTGTGCCATTAGAAATACACACTCTCTCGTTCACTTAGTGCCTTTTTTATGATCATCTGAGTCTTGAGAGTAGGATTGTGTACCAATGTCCTGTTGAAAAGTGAATATTGCTCAGTCACTGCATGTTGATCAGTTATGGGCCTCCCTGTGAATCACCACCCACTGCAGAAAGAAGCTTCTCTGATTACAGTTTAGAGATGCACTACTCTATAGGAATAAAGAGAACTAAAGAAACAGCTTATTACTTTACCCATTTAGCAAATTTATAGTGCTTGGATTCTTTTATGCAGTACAGCATATGACCTAGCCAGCTACATGTTTTTGCCATTATTGGTACCAGACCTGGGTACCATTTTGTGTGGGGGTAGACTTTAAATCCAATAAGAAAGTGTAAGTTGTTCCCATAGTAATCATGCCACTATTCCCACATTTTTAGCAGTTGGCATATCTTGCCTGGTCAGTCATCATTTTTGTTTTTATGGTTCACAGTTGGGTAAAACTAGTGAAGACTCCTTACCAAGGATCATAGCATATAAAGTTCCTTCCTGCATTTTAACAGCTAGCCACTAGGAATTAAGCTTCAAAGTCATTACCAACTTGATTTCTCCTTATCAAATAGCTCAAATATATGGGGTCTACAGCAATAGGGCCTGGCCATCAGTTTTCAAGTAAACCCAAGTGCAATGTCTGTAGCCTATAATGTTTGCGGAAATGGTGTCTATGAGACAAAAAGTCTAGGAAATTAAGTTAAAATTTCACATCTTTAATGTTTGTATTGGATTTCTTATGATCACCTGAATGCTCTTATCTTTTGTGCTTTAACACTGCTGCTCCTAGGCTCTGTCTCATTTGCAAAGCTCTTAGCATGGGCTACTTTTATTTAATTCATGCCGAACTTCTAGTAAGAGGATGAAATAATTCCATTTCTAACATTCTCTTGTTTTCTGTAGCTGCCAGGTAGCAAGCTTATCAGTCTCTTCATTTAACACCTCCAATCTCTTTCTTTATCCTGTTCTTTATTTTCATTCACTAAACTGCCAGGTGAAATATTTTCTTTCTATATGCAGCAATTAATAGAAAAAGAAAAGTTTGTTACCACTGTAAGGCAGCCTCCTGCTATTATTCAGTAAATCATTTCTGGCAACAAAAATAATGAACTGACTCAGCTCTAATAATGCATAACCCTCATCCCACTTTTTCTGGAGTAGTGAAAAAATTCATCTACCACCACACAACATTTATGAATAATGTATTTTTAAATCAGTACTGTTCACCATAAAAATAAGTCTGATACTGTTTCTTTACACTGAATACTTCTAATGGGTTTTAAGATGCAGTATTCTTTCCAAGTTAAATCACTTAATATATTGTAGATGTTTAGTCATTCTTTAAGAAATACTAGTGGATTTTACTAAAAATGTTTCGCTCCTTACAAATATTTCTTTAAATATTGGCTATTTGCTTGAGAGTTTGTTCCTGGAGGCAACTTATTTTTACTCTTTCAACAACCACCTACCTCCTATAGCTTCTCTTTGGGAGGTGACCATGTGAGATTTCCTATTTGCAATGGAGTCCACTGATCTTGTCATCATACCGGTCTTGACCCAGCAGCATATTGTTGAGAGTTCATAGATGAATTTTCCCTGAAATTCTATACAAAATAAAGAAATAAAAATTATTAAAAATATGGTCTATCCTTTGATATACATTCTATGACAATATATAAAACAATTGTGTCATCATCGTATTTAAAACCTTAATAAGCCTCATCTAATGTGTTTCTTAGGGAATTTTATTTTGCCGTGAGACTACCAACAATGTAGGCTCTGATGGCACAGGCATTCTTTTATGCTGTCAGATGAGTGGCTGTGAGTCCTGGTTGAGCCCCGTCACTGAATCCCCTTGTTTCCATTTTTTTCTATGTGCTTACCATTACGTACTTACCATACATGCTTTCCTTCTCACTGTGACTTCCACAGCAGTTCTTCCTTAGTTACAAGGCAGGCACAGAGGTACACCTTCTTCATGTAACATGGAAGGCATAAAGGAATGTCTGTCATGGTAATGCATCACTTTCCAACAAAAGAATAAGGGAAATTTTCAAAAATCACCTAGGGAATGTTCGACTAAGTGCTATTCACATTAAACTACTGAATCATAAAATATTTAGTAGGCAGTGAGTAATCTATTTAACATGTATAAATATCAAGTTTAGAGAAATTATGTCCCAATGGGTGCATATGTACTAAACATTACTATGATTATTTGAGTTGAATAAAATACTTTGTTAATAGATGTAACCATTATACATGACATTTCTCTTTTAAACCCATTAAAATGTCTCCCTGAAGTACTTGTCTGCTGATACATTTTGCAAGTCAGCAGTGGGGGTGCATAGCTGGTGAATTATGATTATCTGAATTTTGTAACTAAAATCTGTGACACCATATACACGTTGAGAAAAACAATTAAAATATACATGCATGAGAAAAAAGCAATATACAAGTAAAGATATTCAGAAGACATCTATGATCTGACCCAACTGAATGACAGGTATGTTCATTTCATATTTCTGACTGAAATTGGATAACTATTGGTATAATTAAATCACAGAACAAATTGTAGGTATACCTTTTCCAGAAACCTGGTGTCCTAATTTTTAATCTACTGAGAGTTTCATCGAAGGATGACAACATGCTTTTATTTCTTTTGTTCCAATAGGAAGACCCACCTGTATCTGTGCCCTAGGATTTACTGGGCCCAACTGTGGCAAGACAGTGTGTGAAGATTCTTGTCACAATGGTGGGAGCTGTGTAGTGACTGCTGGCAACCAGCCTTATTGTCACTGCCACTCAGACTACACTGGAGACAGATGCCAATACTGTAAGTGAAAGTGCTTTCCCTCAGCTGGCCAGCAGTGTGCTTTGAAATTTATGTTCAGAACTGCCATGTTTCACATATTGGCTCTCCCTTTCTTCATTTTAGCCACTCTCCTTTTTTCAGGTTCATTTTCCTGTCAGTTAAACTCCAATAAATTATATATTGTCTCTATCATTTTTAAAAAGATTTTATCTCTTTTCTTTCCCTGGTTAAGTTCAACTTGCATTCTTCACTCCCTTTCTCCTTTCTTCTCTTGGCAACCTGTAGGGATCATTATCATTACCCATCCCCCAGCTCTCTTAAGTAGCACAAGGGAATGCAAGTAGAGAAAATCCAGAGGTGGTTCTGTTTGCCTCATCTTCCACTGGCTGAACAGAACCAGAATTCTTTCCTCCAACTCCCTAAGCATTTATCTCTCTAGCAAGGCCCCTCTGAAAAAAACATATCCAAAACTTCCAATGCTGGTATCTGTTACTCATAACCTCATTTCCCTGTTTTCACCTTCTCTTTTATGTGGCAGCAGAATTCTTTCAAAATATCTTTGGAGTCATATTCCTTTATCTCTATTTCTCCGTTGGCTTCGCTTCCATCACGTTTCTGTTTTTTCTTGTACTGTAGAAACAACTCTTAAGACTCAAGTTTATTGCTTTTTCTATGTCCAGTGGTCAAGTCTCGATTTCTGTTTTACATTTGCTTTCATGTATTTATTGATCCATTTTTCTAAAGACATATTTTTCACTCATCTTACTAGAGACTACTTTTGTCTTTTCCCATTTGTATTTTATATGTTGCTTCTTCACATATGAAGACTGCACAGATTTACCATTGTTTCTTTGCTTCCTGGGGGGGTAAAATATTTAATTCCAGTGTAAACACTTTTGAGACTGAAAGCACTATACTCATCTCTATTTCTTCTCTCTCCAAATATTAACAACGCCTGTACAGTTTCTCACAGTTTACAATAAACCCAATGCCTTTTCAAAATAATGTTTTCATGGCATCATTTTGCATTCTGAGTATATAGTATTTAAATGTTTTTATGTACAAATAAATTTTGGCAATCAGTGACTAGATAAAATTACTTATCTAAAGGGTTTGTATAGCAACTAAATGATAGCTCTACAACTATATCTCCAGATGAACCTTTACTCTAAATTTCAGATCCTATTTTCAATTCCCCTCCACAGCTAATCTTATTTCTCAGATAACCCGACACTTCTCACCTTGTATTCTCACACTATCTTTCTTTTATCCTTAACAAGGAACATTCTTTACTCTGTCCAAAATCTTTAAGTTTTGTTGACTCCTCATAGTTTTTCATATTCTGTCTTCACCTTTAAAAAGCATACCCACAATGTGAACCTTGCTCATTTTCCCAACCATGCAAGTTGCTGGCACCTGTTTGTACATTGTATAACTAAACTATATCCTTGCTTCCTCTCTTTGCCACTGATGTATGCTATCAAATGACGGCCAAATTTTTATTTTTATGCAAAGCAAGATTTCTTTCTATTTTAAACATTTCATTGAAACCTTTATATGTGCATGTACTCAGATAATTGTTTTTCTCATGTTCATTCTATTGATTCTCTTCATTCTACAGTATCCTAGGTATTATTATTGTAAATCATAATTTTAAAAGCACAGCACCAATGAATGCAGCATAAAGAGTCTTTCTGGTGGCACCCACATATACATTTAATCAGGCATCCATCCTTCAAGACTCAAATCGTTATGTTTATTTAATATTTATCAAAGCATGCCTCACATCTCTGGTAAATGAAGAAAGTGCAAACAACAGTACAGAGACAGCTTCCTGTACCAGTTTATTTGATGTGGCATTCATTATCCTGCCTCACATTCCATATTATCATAGTTATTTTCCAGTCTCTGATTTTTGAGTTTTTGTTTTGTTTTTGTCTTGTTTTTGGTTTTGTTTTTCGAGATATGGTTACTCTGTAGTATTGGAGCCTGTTCTGGAGCTCGTTCTATAGGTCGGACTGATCTCGAACTCACAGAGATCAGGCCAGCTTCTGCTTCCTCGGTGCTAGGATTAAAAGCCTGCTCCATCACTGCCCTTCTTTCTTTCTAAATGTTTATTTCTCCTCATATGAAAACAAGCTCTTCTTGACCACAAGGTGCTGAGTTTATTCTAGTAAGGCCACAGCCATGTCTTTCCTCTATAAAAAGGCAGCTTCCCTGGCAGTAAGACTATACCCACTGCTTGCTGGTTCCCTTTGCAAATCATTCACTTGTTCTTTAGTTTAAACTGACACTTACCTTTTATTTCAAGTCTCTGTTTCTATGTCTCCTGGCTTTGTTCATTCTGTTATTTTGTGTATTGTATATTCCTCAGATTTGAAATGATGCCTAGCAATTACAGGTGATGAATAAACAAGTAAATAGTAATTTCATAGATAACATATCTAAATGAAGTGGTCAAAAATTAATTAAAAGATAATCAACATATTATGTGAAAAATGTCTCTTCTATATGTGGATAATCCATAGTTATTATGTATATATTTTGTTTTAAAGTGTCTTATATATTCCAAGCTGGGCCCTAACTCACATATCTTCTCAAGAATGACCTTCAAGTTGTAACAGAATTTTAATCCTCCATGCTGACTTCAGACTGCTCAGCAGGCATGTCCCACCACACTCCCTTTGGATTCAATTTTTCCTTAACCTCTTGATTTATTAGCTTCTACCAATTGATGCTTTATGCTCTATCAGATTTTTTGTATTTATTTTTAAATCAAATAATCAGAATTCTTGATTCTCTTTGAATTTCTCTAAAATGTTATATAGCAGTCATTACAGAAATTTGCATTTTTCCGAAGAACAAATTCATTTAGCTTGCATCTTAATTGACAACTTAATAGAATCACAGTGTGTGGCAGCCTGCTGCTTTACCAGGCTTCTTTATGATTTTATCCTTACTATTAGCAGTCAAAGTGCTTCCCGCCTTTTACTGCAAAGCACTTATTTAAATTAACCAATTAATCCTTAGACAGAGGTTAAATAATTTGCCCAAGGTCCTGAAGCAGGCAGAATTAGACCCCAGGAGTTGTTGATCAAGATGTCAGCAAACATCCAGGAGAACACTGCTGCTCTTCTCAGGCTTTGCCATTAAAATGACAAATCCAGCATTGGAGGAAGTGTAATAAATTCAGAAACCATCAATTTGAGTCAGCAAAGTTCAGTGGACCCAGTGTTCTGTCAAAAGTATGTCTGGCATATACAACACTTCCCCCAGTAAATGAAGGAATGACAGAATGGCTCATTATGGCACCTAATTACAGGCTATTAGTGGGAGGTAAAACATCAGTTCTTAGTTGTGCTGATTTAAACCATCTCAAAACTTCAGTAACAAGGTAAATTCCTGAGGTCTGAATGCAAATTAGTTTTAGCAGTAATAATTTGGGGAAAAAGAAAGATATACTCTTTAAGTTATTTGCTTAAGAACAAATAAATAGGGATCAATTTTCATATGGGCATAAAGCCAGAATTCCTGCTATCAATCAAAGCAAATAAGCAGAGCACTATGCATTTAAATAGAGGTGTCATTTGTGAAGTCAACACTATGCGGGATTATTTTTAATTAAAGGACAGTAGCACTAGGGCAAAGCCTCCCGTTAAGCCAACTTACTCTCTTGACATTGGAAGAACATGTACATGTCTCCTTCCCACACATTATCAGTGCAGACATGAAGAACTGTTCTCTGGGGCTAGAAAAATGCCTCAGCTGTTAAAGGCTAATGTTTCCAAGCAAAAGAAGTTTAGCTAGACTACAGAGTTGAGAGACCTAAGAATAATGCAAAAATATAACATGGTTGATTTTAGAATTTTAGTTTTGAAGTAATTACTGAACAATGATCTGTGGGCATGTGATTATTGTACTAATGATACTATCAGATTATGTTTAGCACTTGTCTTCAGAGAAGATTTGTTCTGTACTCTTCTGATAAGTTCACATGATGCCCACATAATGTTTGGCTTGGTGTGAATAGGTATGTCAAATATTTCCTGCTGCCAATTTACAATCTGTTGTAGTGTTCCCAAAAGGAAATAAGATGCAATAGAAATGTTTAATGAAGCGTGGGGATAAGCTATATATGTGTTCACAGAAAGAGCCTAAGATTCATTGTAAAGAGTAATTTCTTCCTGGAAGTGATATCTGAGGGTAACCTGAAGAAAAGGTAGTCAAATGAAAGGGAACATGAGGGACATCATATGAGGAACAAATAAGGGGGAGTCCTGTGGAAGAATGCAGGGAGCTGACATTCCAATGTTCAGCTCAGTGATCACACCCATTCATGCCAATGCATTAAAAGACATGAAATTTCTATCAATGTGGTGTATATCGATAAAAAGAACTGGACAATCATTCTTCAGGGGCACAAATATTTCAAACTGTCTGCTGTTAATTAGTAGAAACAGTGATTCCAAACAAATTTGTACTTGGAATTAAGAAAACCATGTGTATTCACAATTATCTGCCAAATGAATAGGATATTTAAAAACAACATAGGACATAAATCCTTTGAGACACATTAAACAAAAATATTTATTTAAGCATTTTTGACAGCAAATTGTTTCAACAAAATCCCATGATTCATGTTATTCTTTCAAAATAAAATGTTAATTTAAAATTGATTTTGGAACTAAACCAATATTTTTATTTGAAATGTCAACTAACATGCTTAGGAAAAAACCTCAAATAATATAAACAGAAATAAAATAATATATACTTCTGATAACTTATATAATAATCTTCATGTTTAACTAACTCTTAGAGGTGTAATCACAATAAACTAAGAGTCAAGAAAAAATACTAGAACATCCATTGGTAGCTAATACACTCATCAAGCTTTTGTTTTAAAGACAGCTTTTATAAAAATTTTATAAAAGAATGGCAAGAAAAATTAAAGTGAGTATGCCATACTCAAATTAATTTCCAAAATTTTAAACATGTAGCTTGAATTTCAGTGTGTTTTATGC